ATTTCCCTGGAAATTGGATTTTTGGGAGCAGCACGTGGCTACGTGCTCCCCGTTTTCAAGCGCAGGTGTTGTTCCACACAATTTCCTTGGCCACGTTCTGATCTTTGACTGTCAGCAGCGCCCACGCCAATAGATCCCCGTGTCTTTGGCTTTTTTCTTTGTCGTTGTCTTGTCTCGCCAACTGTGTCAGCAATTAGTTGCGGGCTTTATTTATGGTCTCCATTTGCCATTTGCCTGTTAAATTAATTAAACAAAGCACTAAACGAACATTGTATCCATAAAGCAATTTGGTGTTTTGGAAATAAACACAAGGCCTTTGCCTGGATTGAGTTGCATATGTGGGTGATTTAAATGGAAAGGATCAAATATATATGTAGATATAAGTTTAAAACCTTTTTTTACAGTTTCAAATAGAGTTTCTCAAAATATTGATTTAAGCTTTAAAAGATCTAATGAACTATATTCATTTAATATATAACAGCTGTTTTACACAGCTTCCAACATTGTTGAAGGCAGAAGTAATAAAAATTCTACTGTCAAACACATTATCCCAAAATTGGTCTGATATTGCTTGGCTCGATCTAGAAAAGTTTCCCGCGAAACAGGCCATTTATAGATCAAAATCGCACATAAAATCATCAGCTTACCCCTTCCAAAAATCACTCAATCAGCAAATCCAAGTGTCAACGACCAGTTCAAAGTGTTTATAACTATCTTTTCAACAGCGATGCCAGCATTTTGCACAACAAAGAGATGGCCAGACAATTTCATTACCAAAGACCTGAGCCCCAACGACCGAACATTAGTCATCTGTGAGAGGCAGACAGACACGACCAATCGACTACAATGAACTTATCGCGCCTATAAAATCAATCAACTTTTAATAAAAAAAATACAAAAAAAAAAATACATAAACGAACAGCAGTAACACAACAATAAAGTGCTGCTGGAAAAGGAGTTCAGTTTCCGCACATATGGATCAGATCGGCCAATGACTCATCGAGTGGTCAAGTCAAGTCAAGAACGAACCGAACCCAAGCCAAACCAAACCGAAAACCATAAATAAGCTCAAATATAAATAATTTTTAGTTCCTCCCTTCACTTACCGCCTATCCGTCGTTCTCGCCTGGCTCTTTGCTTATTTGCCCATTCGGCTTTGTTTATACAATAAATCTACCTGAGCACAGGCCCTCTGCCACATCTAATAAGGTGGCGGACTGGCCAGAAAGAAAAGCATTATTCGGTTGTTCGAGGCTTGATGTACCCTGAAAATGTATGAAAAGTTTATTAATAGATAAAGTACTTAATTTGACTAGGTACTTACTTGGCAACAATAGACAAAACCTATTAAATAATAATAATAATAAATAGATATTTAGCATTCCAACTTTTTCATCAAAGTTTAGGGACTCCCAGACAGAGTATGCAATGCAGAGATGACTCCAACTGGGTCTAGTCTGGACCAAAAGGCCAACTACCTGCAGTCCATGAGTCATCCAAGCGAATCTTGCAGTTCGGCACACAGTTAAATGATCAACAATTCGTGGCTCGATATGATTAGCAAGTCCCTCGGCGATCGCTGGGCAGTCGTTCAGGTAGTTAGACCGAAAATGGGACGGAGACCATGGCCCTGTGTAGTCTGTCCCCAAAAGCTCCCCAACATGTTCACTGCTCACATATTGAAAACTTTTCAGCGGATTCGTGCCAATGTCTGGAGCGTCTACTACACCGTAGAAGCGGATGATGACTCATCGCAGATCACACCAGATGAAAACACACTCCATCCCACAATCTTGTCTTTTCTTACACGACCACGGGATCTGAGGATTCTGTTTTTGTTTTAATGCAAAACTTGTGTTTCGGCTTGGAGTCTTTTGTTGTGATTGCGACTGGGAGGAGATTTTGTCAGAAAAGTAAAAATTATGAGCGTGATCAGCTCCGAAATGGGCTCAGAAGTCGCTAAATTTCTTAATTAAACTGGTGTGAAATGAAAACTTTGCATCTATAAAGCTGAAAATATTATTCGCACGGAACCCTTGACATTTTTACGAGTTTTAAATTGCCTCAGACAGTTTCATTATTAAGTGACTTGCTCTCTCAACTAGTTTTGTTTTGTTGTTCCCAAGATAATTTGTACTTTTAAACCCATTTGCCTGGAAATCTGTTTATGAAAAAAAATATGTACATATGTTATTGTGCACAAAAAAATAATAATTAAAAATATTAGATACTATAACTGGATTTATGTTTTTAAAATATACATATACAAAAATTAAATTATTTTTTAACCATTTTAACAATTGACTATATAAGCCGTTCAACTATTGTTTTATATAAATTATTACTATCAATGCAATTCAAAATTTATAACCTTAAAGGATTCGGATTATTTTTAAATTAAACACAAAAGGAATATTTTCCTAAGTACGTGCACATGGAATAGTTTAAAGGAGCTGACGATATGAAAATCGTTCTTCATTTTCTATTTATAAGCATTTATTGCATTGATGTTGATAGATTCATGTGGCTTTTGCAATTTCTATAGATATTTTCTGGTTGTCAAATTAAATTTGTTGCATTCGGCGGATGCTTTAGTTTTAAATAACTTTTCCAGTTCGTTTGTGCAATACACACATCCATGGGGAACGAGAAAATAAATGTATGCAAAAATCTGGTATAGAATATTCGCCTCAATGAGTTGGAGGTGTGAAATGTTTGCTGTGATGCAAATTACAAATTTCAAAGAGAAGGCGTTAACCAGTGCAGGCTGGAAATATAAGAGATTTGTTTATTTTTAGTACGCGTGCAGTCTTTTATTAAATTTATTTTGGTAACCAATTGTTTTGGTGTGCTCTGCGTACATATTTCCTGGCTAAAAGTCATATTATCCACTGTTAAAATTTAATCTGAGAAAAGTTTATACAAAGTAAAAATTCATTGATATGAAAAAGCCCGTAGTTTGTGCTTATTCAAACTCTTCTGTAAAGAAGGTTACGGTTCTCTTCCCATCATAGTTGCGAATAACTATGTGCGAGATTTCGGAAAGCTATAAGAAAATATTTGTTAGTTTTATTGATTATAAGGAAAACATTTGTTTTATGACTTACCATCTGATCGGAAACTTCGGGTACATCAGTTAAAGTCTCATAATATGCTTTAAACAAATCGCGGTTTTCGGCAGGGAAGACGATTATCAGTATTTTAAGATTTGAGCAACGTCGAACGACATCCAATACGTTTGGATGATCGAAACATATTGCCAAACATTCCAAATGGTTGACGTTTTTCGAAATCCAATTATAGTTCGAGGAATCTATCGTCTCTAGACTGTAAACACCTAAGGTTTTCAGCTTTGGCATCACTGGTATATCGCTGAAGATAGCACAACAGTCAAGTAAAAGAACTTCCAATGCTGGGAAGTTGACTTCATCATTGGTTTTTTGCGAACATAGATTAAATCCACTCAATGCCAAAAACCGTAGTTTTTTAAGCGACGAAAATGTATCATGAAGGTTGACAGGCTTAGGCAAAAATGTCGGATATTTATTATTATCCAACCACGTACCCATTGCACCCTCATCTATACAAAAAAATAATGTAATTCAAATGTATATGTAGGTACAACTAGGCAATTAAAATGAATACTTACAGATACTTAATTCTGGACTGAGTTCATTGTATAAATAGATTTCTTCCAAGTCAGGAAGATCTTTAATAAATCTCAGAAGTTTCGGAGAGGCATTTTTGAGATCAACAGAAATTTCCTTGAGGTTTGGCATATTTCTTATAAATTTTCCCACAGTTCCGCGGTTTCGGGAGTTTATATAAAATCCTACGGACTCCAGATTTTGGCAATAGAGCTCTATTAACTTATACGGCGGACTGATATCCTCGTCATTTTTGGTCTCGATATGCCGAATTGTGGAGCCGCATAGCGGAAGTAGAGCTCCCCAAAGCCGAAATGGAACTTCCTCCACGTTCAAGCACTCGAAATCATATCGGCTATGGTACTTAAATGCTGCAGCCAGCACCTTATCCACTCTAGCCAAATTCAGCTTATATTCGACGTTTCCAAGCAACTCGAATATTAAATCATGAACTTCCAATGGTAACCCAATTAATTTCTTCAGATTTCCCATTTTGCAAACTTCGTTAAGCACGTGCTAGACAAAAACGACCTTTGACCGGACTTTCGATAACTGTAGGTCAAGATAACACCATTGTGTGCATATAACTTTAAAACAAATGGAACGAATCAATTCCCACCGCTCTTATTTTCGCGGAACGATTAATTTTCTTATATTTTACTTCTAGATGTTAGTACCAATTGATGGATAAATAAAACTTGATAACTTAAAATATTTATTTTTCCTGTTTATTCAAACTCCAATAATGAACTGAGATTTTATTATGCTAATTTATCAAGCGAGTATACCTCCAAAATTCCAATTTAACACAAAAAAAAACGCTGAAGACATTGAAGCTGAATATTTATTCTTTTTAAGTTTAGATTCCAGCGAATACAATATACGCTCTCATTTTACGAGTGCAAAAATGTATTTAATATCTTAAAATAGAGATTTCTTGATATTATATTTCAAGTTTATTAATTGGCTCACACTCTCATATTAGCATATGACAAATTAAAAGACGTTCGGTTTTTAGGGAGAAACGATAATACATTACCAAACTTAGAGAAGATCTTGTTTTTAAGTTAACTGACAGTTAAAATTCTTGTGTTCTAATTTTTGGGAGAACGGAACTTTTTATCTGCAAATCTTTTGATTCTTGCATTTGTGAAGTAGCCTTAATTATCGCAATAATCGATTGCATCACACCACCTTTGTTTTCCAGCCCTGGCACTATTTTCGATTAAAAACTTATCGAAAGTAGGACGAATTAGCGTGGTTTGGCTTTTTGTTAGCATTTGAGGTTAAAATCAAACATAGAGTATGTAATATAAGAGACACAATTTGCTATGCCCGAACCTCTGTCCAAACTCGGCTGATAATCATTTTGTTTATCTATGAGATATTCCAACCCAATTAGAGGAGCTGTCAGTAAATTGTCAACCTTCAGTCACACTACTACGAACTATCATGCATAATTCAAGCCGGTAAACCAAGAACCGTTTGATTTTCAGTAAACAAGTGTTAGTTGGCAAGTTTTTCAATACATACATATGTATGTATGTATGTATTGACGCATTGGAAGTTGGTCAAACTTCCAAGCTGTAAATGAAATCGAATCCAAGGATGTCAACTTCTTGTACACAGCCGATGGTAAGTTGTATCTGTAATGTGATTTTTTATTGTTGACATTGTTTAAACACGTTGGCAATAATAAAATTTCTGAAGCCCAAAAGAAACTTATTTAATGTGAAAAATCACAACAATACGTTAAAGAACAAAAATGCTTGTAATACTTAAATAAAATATTCAATGTTTGGTCAAAAGTTATTAAAAAATGTAATATTTGATTAACTAATTATTGGGAAACAATTTGTTTGTTATATCAAATAGTAAAAAATGTTTTGTTCATGGTGTAATATATTCGAAAATTTGTAAGTAAAATTTTTATTATTAATAAATTTAATTTGTAGATAATAAACGAAGTTCCATTTTATTTGTAGATCATTATATAAATGATTTTTTTTTTTGAGTATTGAAAATCGCCTTTTAAAAGGTCAGCATATATTCTTTTCGAACGATTTTAGTATAGTCCTTAAATTTGTATTTATTGATTATAACTGTATTGTATTGTCTTTATTATTTTACAGCGATATATGAAATACTTTTATTGGACCATATTTATGGTAACCTAGTTGTGTTGATAATGATTAGTTTAAATAAATTTTCGGTAGACAAATGTTTGCATACTGTCTCTTCACTTCTTTGATTCTAAATTACAGCTACTTGATATTTTTTTTGCAGCAAATCCACTACTTTATCAATATATCGCAGAGAGAACCCACAAGTGCTGCATAATAATTTCGATCAATTACAGCAATTAGCACGGCTCGGCTTGCACATAAAAAGCGCATCAATTGTGTTTGGCGCAGAGTCTTCAATTGCTTTTTATTACCATTTCGATGTGCCTTGATTTACGCCTGATCTGGTTTAATTTTTACAGCGATGGGTACAAATTTAATAGACCTGGGCTGTTCAGTTTCTAAAATTTATTGGTTTTCTGAACTTTCTTTTTACTACTAGATAGTTCGTTTCCATAAAAAATAAATTATCCCTATTTGTTTTTGTTATTAACATCCCCCCACTGAGAATTGCACCCATGAGGAAAATTATTTTTATCATCATTCATTGAGAGAGCTTCCATGCGCTATAATATTTGGCATTTTTCCAACTGGCCATGCCATAGATTGGGCTCTAAATATTTTTAGTACGCTACATCTCTTTTTTTGATAATTACTTCCCAGCTGAACGCATGAACGCCAGCGCAAACACTTTTCAAGCAAATGTTTTTCTTCAAAAAAAAATCAAATCAACAAAAATACTATTTTAGTCTAGCCGGGGCAAAGTATATTACGATATGAACGTTACAAATAATTGGTTTTGTGCTCACCTATATGCATATGCATATTTTTTATATGCAGAATGAAAATCTTTAAACAATCCCTTGTCTCTTTGTTTTTTAGTGACTCATGTTGATTTAAGAGCCTTCTACTTAAAGATATTTAATGCACAATAAGTTTATTGATTTACTATCGGGCATACATACATTCAAAATCCTTTATTCAACTATAAAGGGGTTTTGTTGGTTGATGATTTTGATTTGGACACTTAAGAAAGATATAATACAATTTTACCACATTTTAAAACTATAATTTTCATTGCAGCAAGACGCCAGCCAGTGAAGTCCATTTCGAAACAAAACATCCACAATCACCTACCCCAACAAGGCCATAAAAATGTGCCAACGGTGACCCACTTTCACTGTCCAGAGAATGTGACAAGCTTGTCAGGCATTGTGAAATATTGGACAACCCTTGAGACATGCCCAGAAACGATAAACCAAGAAAGCAAGAGGCAGTGGACAGAAGACAGGGGCCACCAACGCCTCCCATCGCTCATCCGACTGAAAGCGAAACAAAAGACGGCAACCGGCAAACATGGGGAATACTTCCGATCCAGGAGATCGCGATCTCGGTCTGAAAGTGGAATTAAATTTGCGATCGCCCACACACACACACAAACGCACCCACAGAATGAAACAAAAGATGAGTTTGTCTGGCGATGATTAACTTTATTCGGGTGAGACTTTATTCTTCGCTTGAAAGTAGTTTACAAGTTATCATTGTTATAAAAGAATAATTTTAAAGCCCTTTTTATTGATTGATGAATATAAATAAATTAACCTTTTGCTTACACTTTCAAAACTCTTAAAAATAAATGTGGATATTTGTAAATTCTATTGTCAAAACTATTGTTTTATAGAGCGATAACTGAGTCTCTACACACCAAAGATTAATTATGAATTATGAAATGTCCAAATTTCTTTGAACTCAAGCTTATCAAGTAGCGCTTATCTATTACTGAGGCTGGGAATCATTCTATTTTTTTTTGTAAGTTAAGTAAAAGTCAGACTCAGAATATGCAGAGTGCTTATTATAAATATTTATCACTTTCTTCACTAATATGTAGGTGAACTTATTTCAAATTTTTTGCATTGCTTAGCATCCATACTGCTTTTTTTATTTACTTTAAATAGAATCGATTCTAAATTTTGACAATAATTCTCGAACAGCTAAAGACCTTGATAAGACCTTAAATTAATTGCTTCCGTTTGGTGATTGCGTTGAATCTAAAATTTTCTAATCACTTCCAATTTCATTGGAAGACAGTTCCAAATGAAATTTTAGGCATTTTTGGAATTTTTTGCTGAAATCAAGGAATATGGTTCTCTAAGTGTAGAGTAATCTATTGTTTTTAGATTAAATTAAATACTTAATATTGCTCTAAGAAGTCTTAACCCATAGATGCATATTGAATGGTTCGTTGATTAAATATTGATAACCTTAAATATCTTTTGTATTAGCAATAATAAATGTAATAAAATTACACGTATACAATAAGAAATACCTCGTATGGCTAATATTCATTGAGGGTATTTAAATATTCGATGTTCGTTACAAGGCGTTTAGTCATATCGAAAGCGGATGAGCTGCTTTTATCGTTGCAATCGACGAACGTCTTCGTTTGCGTACAAGGCAATTTATTAATTATGCATAAATGGCAAAGACCCTGCTGAAGTTGAACGCGGGGGGAAGTGGGGGAGTTGAATGTTGGACTTGGGGAGCGCGGCGGAAAGTTCAAAAAGCAATCAAGTTCTGAGTGCCGACAGTTCTCAGCCGATTGTACTGTTATGCAAACAGAAGTGGGAGGAGGAGGAGCGACGGGATCGGGATCGGGACCGGAATCGGGAGACTTTATAGCCTGACCAACTGAAGTTAAGCTGACAAAATGCACTTCAACTGGAATCACCTTAAATGGCCAGACAACACACGTCTTTTGTCGTTAAGCATTTTATGGTTTTATCCCTTAGTTGGCAAAAGTTTTCATCGGAAACGATTTGACTGGGTAAAGTTTTTGGTTTTTATTTTTTTTTTTTATTTGCTCCCCTCTTTAATTTGGGCGTAATAAATTATTGTGAGGGAAAATAAGAGAAAAAATTAGAATCCATTACTAGGTCTTCGTCTTCTACCTGCGGTTAAGGCGTTCAGGATCCTCAAACTCCGATTCCCCGCCATGTGTTCTCAAGTGGCTCGATGGACTCGGTCCTATCTTTTGCTGTACACCCCAAACACCATTTTTCTTTTCCCCATTCTCGGGTTCTTCGCTCCTTCGCAAAGTTTTAAATTTCTTGGAAATAAAAGCCTGGACATTGGTTTTCGTCCTTCCCTTTTCTATCGCTCTACGCTCCGATGCCCCTTTTTTATGATTTCTGTCTGTCTTCTGTCCTGTTTTCGTTTGGGTTTTCGGGACCGGCAAATTTTTGCAGCTACCTAAGCCAACAGCTCACAATTGAGTTAACCTAGTGGAAGTGAGACAGACGGAGGCGAGAGAAAAAGAGACAGCAATCCTGAAGAAAATCTAAGGCGCGTTACGGTTGCCTAGTCTTAAACCTATACTCTATAAATACTGTTCGATCACTATGATCATTGTAGTCTTTTTGTAGCTTAAGAGGTTAAAGTATATGTTAAATATTTTTATTATTAAAGTACATGTTTAATATTTTATTTAGGCTAAATAGTTGTAGACTAGTTTTTGGATCGTTTTTGACAATTATTAGAAGTTATTCTATAAAAATATTAAAAATATTTTTGAAACTAATTTTCATTCGAGTCTTATTCTCTCATTCTAAATTACCAGAATTTGGATATGTCCCGCTGAAATGTATTAGGATCATCCAAGTTAATTCCAAAATTTGTTTAAACGTTAAATTGGTTTACTCTTAATTATTAAAAAATATTTAAATCGTTGTCGGAGGCCAATGCAACTTTCGAGTACACAATTAATAAATATCGGTTTTGAGGGATAATTTCGTCTATGGTTTCAGGGTATCACCGATTCTACCTAATTGAAATCTTCTGCTCATTCGTCTTTTACGTGTTATCTGCTCAGTCTGTTTGCCATCGACGCTCTGCTTCTTGGCCTCTGTCCGTGCGTTTATTTAATTTTTTATTCGGGCTTCACTTGTCCCTCATACGCCGTGTGGTTGCTGTAGTGGTAGTTGCTGCTTGGCTGCGATACGAAACCGTGCAGGTGTCCAATATTTTCTTTTATACCGCGTCATCGGCCCAAAGAAAGAGAAAAAAATAAAAAAAAACAACATAAAATCCAAAACTAGTTCTAGATTTACAGCCACACCCCCCTTCGACGCCCCTGCCGCGTCTCACTTTATTTCGCCCATATTTTCGATTCGATTGCGTATAACAAGTTTAGCGGTCTCGCTGTCCCCCCGCCCCCTTTTTTTTCGAACCGTTCTTCGACTTGGTATAAAGTGCTTTGCATCCATGCAACGTCGTCCCCAGACCCCCTCACCCCACCCCCCTTTGGGTCCACCACCCCCTCCCACACCTAAAGCCCTTTTTTCTTCACTCAGAGTTATATTCTTGTTCGCTTTTAATTTCTGTTTTGATTCTACGCTTTTGAAATTTGTACACTGAGAAAAGTTGTTTTTTATACCCTGTAAAAGCGTAAATAAAGAACTTGTAATCAGATAGAATTGAAGCAGAATTTTTAATTAATTCGTTGATTATTAACTTGTTTGTGTATTTTATAACCAGTCATGAATCTTTTCCTGTAAAAATTTAAATTTAAAGATTAAAAAGAAAATACAAATTTGTTTAATTTTTTTTTGGATTTAATATTTAGGTAAGTTTTGTTTATTGGATATGCATGTTAAATAACCGGAAAAAGAAAAGTGTAATCAATAACGTTTACAAATCAACATTTTTTTCTTGAGTGTGCTTTTGATTAATATTGTATACATGTTGGATTCAGAGTTTTTTAGGCCCCATGCGGAGTGGTCCGTCTTCTTAATATTTCCTCCATGCATTGTAATTACCCAAATTTGGCGTCACTATCCGTTAAAGGTTTTATTTGTTAGGATTAGGAAGGGGATAGACAGGAAAACGGTAATGTGGAATTGAAGTATATTTATGGAGTTGGTCTAACGATATCATAAAAGATTTGATAGATGACAGACGTAAAAAATAGTTTCCCAGAAAAAATTAAGGTATTTGTTAAAATGGCTTATGTGCAAATTTATAAAAGCCAAATTTTTATTTTCAGTCTATATAAGAAACCATTATTTATGTATATAAAAAATGTATTGTAAACTAAACTTTATTTATTCCTAACTTTCGGGGTTTATAAAAACTTTAAGCATTCACTGTGATAAGTTCATCGTAATGTTTTTCTTAATTTCAAAGATTATAAATCGTTTATCTTTATATAATGTTATAATTTTTGGCCCTTATCTATATTATTATACATAATCCTCATGCAGGATTTGCACATCTTTCCAGTAGACATGATCACCTGAGATTTCCACAGATTGGGTATCATCTTCCAGAATGCGTTCAAAGGGATAAGCTAAAGGCAATTCATCCCATCGACTAATTCCCCTGCTGAAGTCACAATTTAGTTCATTGCCCTGTCGAGCCTTGAAATCATAGACAGTGGCCACGATCAGGAGACGCATCTTTAATGGATTTCCCCTACCACCTCGGGGTAAAATCAGACGTCTAGGGAATCCACAATTAGGAGTGGATATATTCAAGGGAAAGTCGTATTCCTCCCTTTCGGCCAGTTTTACGAACTGATGGAGCTCAGTGAATGAGATGTGATCACCAATCAGTCCTCCAAAGTCCTTCGATTCCCTTGATATTCTATTTAATCCTGGATATATCACTTTTAGAAAAGAATCCAGCTGATAGAAGGGCTCCCTTTGAATGAATCCCCGCTCTGAAGTAGTAAGAAAAGTTCTAAAAATTGTAGATTGCGTTTTGTTGCTTGAGATTTGCAGGTTATAAGTGAAATCCCTATGTTGAAGTCGAAACTGCTGCTGTTGCAAGGTGAAAGGCCACACAAACTGTCCTGCCAAGTAAAAGTGCTTGGCATGTAGGATATTGCTTAGGTCTACATCAACCGGTTGGTCATAGGTGATCAGCGGACTTATCTGCAAATCATCAATGCGAAGATCACTGGGAATAAACATTTTCGGATTAGAGGGCTGGAACACCTGACGATACCATCGATATGACTGCAACACCCGCTCAGCATAATAGTAAAAGTTTTCGGATCTCAGTGCGGTTCGAATGTCTAGCAAAAGTTCGGGTTGGCTAGCTTTTTCTATGGTTAATCGTGTCCAATCGTAGGGGAATAGTTCGCCAAGCCCAATAAGCCAGTTTGTATCCACATCCAGATTAATAAGACTACCATTATTAAGCTGAAAACTTCTAAAGGTGATGGCATCTCCTACTTTTTTCTCCAATTTTTTCAGTCTATCGACAATAATTTGCGAAGTTTTCGGCGACTCTAGTTTAAATCGATGATTTCGTCTCTTTATATCCTCTTCTAATGCTAACCTTTTATACGACATTTTCTGACCATATCGTTCCAGTTTATATCGAGCTAGTAGTTGACCTAATTGATGGTACCACCACTCTTGCAGCTCACTTGTACTTTCTTCAGTAAAAACAATGCCAATGTTCACATTATACCAATACGACTGCCAGCCAATATCCTCCAACAAGTAGTAGAGTTCTTTTCCCTTTTTTGGCTGCTTCATTCGCAGTATATTCACATCGGCCATGGCCTGAAACCATTCAAGTGAACTTCGCAGATCTCCTTCCAAATTAAAGGGTTCCATTTTCTGCGGGTGAATTTCCTCAATGTCACTTACGTTCTCGTATCTTATCCAGTTGGCGAAATTAAATTTTCTAGCCTTGCTCACAGTTACATCATCGTGATACGTTTCGGGCCACAATTCATAAATCTTTGGCAAAATCAGGGCCTGATAATCCTCTCGTTTGAAAAGGACTTGTGTCAAAGCTTGAACAAAAACATCCGGATTTATGTGGACCCGTGCCCAGCAAATATTTTGCCACAAAGTATACCAATCCCTGGTGTTATAGAAAAAGTGATAAAGGCCCAGCGTCTGTTCATAATGATCGGCATAGAGTGGGTTGTAGTACACATTTCTGTGTAATAATTTTCCCAAATTGAAATCTTTATAGAACTTTGCCATGTGATCGTTGTAGACCTTAAATTTGTAACAACTGAGTTAGTTGCAGTTCAACTATTGTTTTTTTTATATACTGACCACATACTGTTCCTTGTCGGTTACCAACTTCTCTCCCAATAATCTCCATTGATCGTTCATTAAAGGTTCCTGGACATGATGCAAAATTTCCAACAAAAAACGTTGCTTTTCCAAAAAGTAGCGATTACCTTAAAATTAAATAATCTTTAGAAAACGATAAAAGTATATATTTTACAATTTTTGTACCTATTCCATTAGCAAAAACTTTCAAATTAATATTTAAAAATAAAAATAACAAAGATAAGAAGACGCAAAATCGCATGGCACTTGTTTACCACACACGATTCAAAAATAAACTGGTGACGATTTCCAAATTGCACTTTGATTACGCTTTATATAGCTTTCACCTATATCAGCTAGAATTATCATTTTGTTCGCAGGGAGGCAATTTTAGAAATGAAACGGCAATTGAGCATTTACAAAAAAAAACTTTTCGTCAATATCTTATAAAAAATATTGAATAAAATTAAGATTTAAATAAACAACATTTAAAAGACAAAACTAAAAAGAGAAAAATGACTAAATTTTCCATTTTTAGAGTTAGCTTTAAAAAAAAGTTATATGTATTAGTTTCATTAGAAAAACTTTGATTAAATTTAAAATAATGATCGGAGTTTTACAAGTTCTAAAATATAAAATTCATCGTCATTGGCTTCAAATTTTGTATGTATTGTAAATATGTTGCATTTGTATATAACATATAAACGCAAAATGTTTCGCATTGTTGAGTTAATCACTCTTAATTTATTTAAAAGACATCTTTTGTTCACAAAACAAATAAATACTGATTACTGGCCTTAATTTCCTTAATTGGCTATTGTTGGTTAGCATTTACTGAAAAACTGTAAATAAAGCGGAAAATGACCGTAAGAGATATGCCCAGAAGCGAGTCTCATTTGCCTATTAGTCACCAAGTGTGGCACAATAATGCAAAACGCTTTTCGCCAACCGGGGCTATATCCCCGCCCACCGGCGATCACTTCCCGCTCCTGTTGCGCAAATGTGCGGACATTAAATTGCCAACTCAGCCGCTTTCTGGGGTCTCTTCTGTCTTGCTGTCCGATGTCTGATTTCTGATGGCTGCTGATGACTGGATGGCGGAAAAAAAGGGCAAATTATAATGCGAGAAATGTTAATTACAGTCGGCGCGACTCGGATGTCTCGGTATCTCTGGCCCATTGTTCGCCCAGAAATTTGCCGCATTAATGTAAATCGGCAGCCAGGCATGACGGATTATAGGAACCCAGACCTAGTCCAGATGCAGGCCGACCATTAAATTATCGTCCAGATACAGCCGGTATTATATATACAAGTAGTGTATAAGACACAAAGCTCTTTGTTTCCATTCGCGGTGACAAAACGTTGCGCTTGAAGAACTTAATGAGTTGGAACCGAAACGAAAGGAAGCAACCAGTTACTCGTACCACCCTGTAACATAACTACTGTCTTTGCGCTGATTGATTCTTATTGATGGTGGCAAGAAGTTTTTGGCCCGATAAGCCTGTTAAGACCGTTACCGATCGGGAAGACCCTATTGCCTCCTCATGAAAACTGATTACCCAACTTTAGTCCCAACGAAACGTGACAAAACTGCTGGCGAATCTTGCCTAATCATTGTCAGTGTTAAATATCTAGAAGATACACTGGAGAAATTTTAATAAACTAAAAGGAAAAGATTGTTTTTTTCAAATAGGGAGTATTAAAAGAAAAAATATATTTTTAAAGAACTCAAATAGTTAATTCTGATATAACATCAAACCATGGAAAATGAAAAATTATAAAATAGTATGCTAACGTTATACAGAGTAATATTTCTATTTTATTATTTGAAAACAAAGCAAATCAATTTATTTTGAGTGTAAAAAACACATCCTCTGTGACTGCAAATCCTTTTGCACGTGCATCAGCACCCCGGGTTTTCCATTCGACAGTGATCCCAAGTGCTTTGCATAATATTAGCACATTAACTGAGATCGGGGATTGCATCGGTGCATCTTGGAGCAGGGTTTCAATGGGCTTGCCATCATCAAATCGCCATAAATCGTCACATCTGAGAACCCTTAGGGTCCCTGCTCCTTTCAAATGTCATCACAGACTCTTTTGCCGTGATCCTTGGCCCCGGGAGGCTTATGAAATGCAAATTACATTTCAATAGCGCGCTTTATTGGTCCCCTAACCCCGACTCATCTACGCGCACTTTGTTCTTTGTCATCGGTCCCGATGATTGCCCCTTTTAGCGCATTGGAATCGTATTTAAAAAGTCATTATCGGGCGGATCCATCCCCCTGCCATTTTCAGCGCATCAATCACTGCGCCTTTTGTCAACCTTCGTTTTTTGTTGGCTCATAAAACGGTTGGAAAGTGGACATCTTAGGCGCAGTGCGTGTGATTGGTAGGGTAGAACGCATAATAAGTTGGAATATAGATTTGGAAATCGCTGCTGGAGGTTTTCTTAGGCTCTAAGGGGTGTTGTGGACTTTTACACAAGATCTACTGGAAAAGCTATTTAGGTTTATTGATCTTTAGCTGTGCATTCATCGTGGTTATTCTAATAAAACAGAAGCTAAAGCTAAAGCTTTTAAACAGAAGTTGATGATTTTATGTAGATATAAGTTTAAAATATTTTATTGACATTTAAAGCATTTGTAAAACATATTCCTTTTCACTTTGAAATAAAATATTTTTCTTTTAAAACTGTAGGTATTTCAAAATTCCCTAGACAATTTGGTATTATTTCAAAGCTTGAGTGATCGCATTGACTTCAATTACCATATTTCCGCCACCTTGAAGAGCTTACACAATCGCTTTTAGCTGCCATCTAACTATTTTCACTCACTCTGCTATCTGCCAACCGGCCATAAGCTTCTTATTTATTATGACTTTTTTTGGTGTAAATATTTAAGGTCTGACGCATACGCCGGGGTCTTTTGGAATGGCATGTGGACCTCGGGCACTGCGTCAATGGCAAAATGTGTAACCAAGCACAAATGAATCATCGAAGTCAGGCCAAAAATAAAGACCTAAAGACCAGCCCAGACCGCAGGGCCCCGATCGGTAGTCCGATGTTTTTAATAAGGCAAAGCGACAAACAACCAAAAATTGGGTCAACCGAGATAAATACAAGTAAGTGTTGTTTAAACATACACTCGGGGGAATTAAATTGAATAACAAAAAAAATCCTTTATTTTTAAACAAATCCAAACTTTTCAACAAACTAGTGATATTATTAATGCGCTTAAGTTTTGTTTTATATGTATGTGAATAGATGTTTATTTTTTGAAAATTATTTTTTTAAATTCGAAAATATAATTTTTTACAAAACCAAAAAAGAAAGTAAAGTCTGCTTTGTAAAATTTTGATTTCAAAATAGTTTGAATTAAGAATAGATCTAATATGAATGGTTTATTTTGTTAAAGCTCAACCGTATTTCTCGTCATTAAATTGCTACTTCTTTTTTTCAGTGCATATAAATGGAGCTGATTTCGGGAGTTATTCTTGCCCGAAATTTAATACACTGATGGATATGGGAAGGGAAAGGAGTCCCGAACAATGGCAGGGCTTTCATGCGAACTGTCAACTTGTCACGACAATTAAGCGAGTCGATGGCTAACTGGCTATCTATCGGTGAAACATCAGGAAACGCCCACGCATGCCAGGCGTCTTAAGCGTTAAACAAATTAAATATCCGACACTGGGAAGTTGGGGGGGAATTATTGAAATACGACACCGATCGGAGTGGATGCATCAGGTAGAGGCGATGACCCAATTCGCTATGCACTTGCGCGACAATTTTGGTAAACACCAGGAACCCTCTGATGACCCCTTACCACCTTGCCACCTTACCACCTTACCACCTCAATGCCCCATCTCCCCTTTCTTTTTATTTTTTTTCTGTCAGCTCCAATATTTGTTTACCATTTAGTTTATTATGCTGTGTGCGCTTTGGTTCTGCCTTGTTTGATTGCCCTTATTGGACTTCGCTTCGTTCCCTTGTGCCGTGGTGATTTTCAATTCAAGTTATGATTATTATACATATGTTGGGAAAGTCAAATAACGGTCGCTATAAGTCGAGGCATATGGCATTCAAAGTCCCACAATTGTCGGCGATAATTTCAATTTGATGAGTTTTCAATTGGGTTCTCCAATGGGTTTTTTGATCTTTCCTCGCTGCGACTCTGAGGTGTTGGGAAAAGCTTGTTAATACGCCAAATGCCTAACAAATATCGTACATTAGTTCTCCTTTCTTGACATCTATGAGAACGAAGTCTTGAATTCAGCTTTATTGATGCGATTTGTGCATGGGAATGGATTATCTGGTAGTTAAATGTGATGGTTTATACTCATGAAGGTAGAACTCGATGAAAATTTAGAAAACAAATTTTATTGAATGCAACAACAGCGGATTTAAATATGTTTTAATTTAATTTGAAATAAAAATAGAAGTCCTTAATAAATAAAAAACTTCATTTGTTTTGCAATATATTTATTGAATTGAATCTATGGATCCTTTTTAAATATTTAAGCTAAACTATAACAAGCCTAACAAATTTAAAACTACTGAAAAAATACGATAAACATACTCTACTAGTATTGCAATTATTCATCATATTGTGGTTTTATAGATTTTATAATTTAAAATTCATTTTGTGTCCTCAATCCAGAATCAACATCACCTCATCAGCTGCACAGTTAACCCTAAAAGAGATGAAAGCGCCAAATCATCGCGAGGATTAACACCAATCGACCGGAGTCATTGTGGATCTCTGCCCACCTGAAAAGTTCCCATCGTTTTACGTGATTTGTTCTGTGTCAGTTGCCTTTTCTGCGTGTGACAAATTTACGGTGAGTGACTTTCGTAAATTGGATTTTAATAGTTTTTTGGAAATGCTTAATCACTACCTACCTTAAACGAGGACTACTATAAACGTTCGTAACGAGGCTTGTTTTAAAAATGTTTTTTTTTTAATTTAAGGGGGATTCAAAACAACATACACTTTTTCTCCCCATTGCTTCGAGTGCGAAAATCCGATCCAAGTCTCCCTGCTGTCTGCCACAGCAGAAATCTAAAAATAACAAACAAACAAAAAAAAAGATAAAATATTGTAAACAAAATTGTCATTCCCCCTTTCGTGCAGAGAATTCTTTTGGTTTATAAATACAACTGCCGCGCAATTGTAAAAGTTGACAATTTATTTTTAATCTAGAATATGCAAAGCAAAAAAATTCAGCCACGGTCCGCATATCTCGAAGATACTCACTGTCAGTGCTATTTTCCCCACTTTAGTCAAATACAATTTGAAAAGAATCCAGTCCTCTAGTAAATTAATGAAATTTTATTAAAGCAGAAGGGTAGTACTAAACTTCTCTTCTTTTATATTTGAATTTTTTTTCTAATTGCATTTTTATTTTAAAATATATTTTGTTATGTTTTTGAATCCATCGCTTTTGATTTATTCAAATATCTCATGTTTATATTTTTTATTTATATTAAAGTTGTATAAATTTTAAATGCAATTTTGTTATTGTTCAGCAGTTTGCCCAACATAACAAACATAAAAAATGCAATATACTTTGTATGACTTGTGAATATAAATATTGTTTTAAAAGTTAGGACAGTACACAAGTATTTTAAATTTTAAATTTTTTATTGATAGTGTTACATTTCAAGTTAAAAAGGGACGAGCTCCTAACCCAATTCAGAGGTGATTCCAGCGACCCAGAAGTGCCTCCCAGCCAAGCGGATCGGTTGCTCCAGAGAGCCACTGACCATCCAGATCCCATCCCTTGGGCGGCTCTTTGATCCCATTTGCAAACTTACTAGAGCATGGATGAGATTCGCTTTCGTTTTGCGGCTCAATTTCAGCGGAGGAAGGAGGAGAATGATTACAGAGCCTCGATCCAACCGGGGATCACACGTTTTTAGTTTTTTTTGGGCCAGTGCTGGCGAGCAATTGCTGTAATTCCAATTAATACACGGCACTTGATCGCTTTCCTTCGGCTCGTTTCGATGTGCGATTTCGTACAGATGTGGCGCGTGCTGCATGCCAGCCCAGTGTCGTATCTGTATCTGTGTATCTGTGTATCTATGTATCTATGTATCTGTATCTGTCCGATACTCGCCCATCGAGCCACACGTATTATTGTCCATCTATTTGTCTTCGATCAATCTCTGGAGTTTTAGTTCGAGTCGCAACAGCGGCCAGTATCGGACCCGCAATTATAAATGGCAGCCAGTCCGCAGAGTTGGCCACAATAATTGCCCCAAAGGGGAAATCGGCTTCAGTAACTACTCCAACTTTGTATCTAGCTGCAGACACGCTAACTGCATCAGTGTTTTCTTAGGCGTTCTATGACTTTTATCGCACAGTTCTAACTAACTGCAGGCGATGCTCTGATGACGGTAATCCAGGCACTTGCCATCTGCACATCTGCAGTGTTTTCCTGGCACTGGGTTGCATACGCAAAATTATCAAACGATCTAACTGTTTTTTCCTTCATTTGTAAGCATCTAAGCAATTTGATACTGACTTACAAAAATTTACAAGAAAATTTCTATATATGGTTTTAAAAACTAATCGAAATTACGAACTTCCTTGGAAAAAAGTTAGTTTCACTGATTTCACGAGCTCTGAATTTTAGTTTTAAATTTGGCTTATGTTCTTTTCGACAAATTTGGTATAGGAACTGAAATATGAACTTATAATGGATGTAAACGATGCAGCGGTTGCAGCATTCATGTCTTTGATGTAAGGTCAGAGCACCCAAGTAGCAAAAGATAATATTTTTATACTTATATATGATACGGTTTCAGATTAACCTTTTCTAGGATATTGATAGTTAATGGTTCATTATGAATGATATTTTTTCCTGCGTACTTGAAATTCAAGAAAAAATTTGGGAATCTTAACTAAAGAACCCTTCGATGCACTATACCCGAAATCAATGCACTTGGCCAAATCGATCGAGCCCACTTAAATATGGGTTGTGCTCTTGGCCTCGAATTGCGATCGGTTTCGAAGACGGGACTGCGACAGCATCCCCATACGTGGCCCTTCCCTTGCCCCCTCTAGCCTGGCCAAGCTCAGGCATATAATTTCGTTGACGCGCAGAATAAATGATAAATGCAATCATTATAAGAAACACAGCCACAGCAGAGCAACGAAAACTTGGCGAACACGAACGCATGATTAAAACTTTGGCAAAGATGTGAGCAGATGGAAGGGGGCCAAGATGGGATGAGGTCTGCTGTGGTGGATCCATGATGGGGTCCGCACTCTGAGGCGTTGATGCGAAGCTCAAGATACTTTCTGCACTCTACAAAATAATACATATATATATATATATATTGTTTTTATCATTTGAAAAAAAAGAAATTAGATTTAAATTACTATTTCATTGTTATTCTTTGGTAAATATATATTTTTTGTTATTTTACTGTCCATTTTTTAAAAGTTACTTATTATATCTTTGTTGCTATATATTAGGTCTATAATATATATTATATGAGTACCCAATTAAAATATTTTTGGCTTTAATATTAATTTATTCAGATTTTTAGTTTTTTAAATAAGAAAATATAATTTTTCATTTGGCGATATTCGGAACTGATTTTTAAATTTGAAAATTTAACTTAAATTACATGAATTTAAAGCAATCGGAACTATCTATTACTTTTCACATTTATAAAAATATATTTATAACATTTATTATAAATTAATAATATATATATAATATTTTTGAACTATGTTGGTGATAATCAAAATTTTTTTAAGTGCCGATACTGGGATCCATCCAATGCGTGCGCCCGGTTTCACGCCGCGCTCCCCTCAGTTCGATCGTGATACGCTGACCGAGTGCAGCGCGAATGTTTTATGACCAGTCCCGACCGAGCCCGGCATAATTTGTTAGCCTGGCCCGGTCGAGTGGTCGGAGTGGTCGGTCCAAGGATGCTGGATCTGTGGATCTGAATCTGAATCTGGGGGCCATGCCTCCTCGGTCCTTTCCTGTCCGCCCCTTTTGCACAGAAGCTGCTCCACTCCGTTCGATTGCGTATAATTTTTTTTTCGATTCTGTATCGTTTTTGTTTTTTTTTTTCTGAATTTCGCTTCTTCATTGGCATCATTTGCCTGCGGGGCATAATTTTTGATGGGCTTTTGTCTGCTTCTTTGGAACCCAAAAGCCAAAAGAGATATTGTAGCGGGTAGTGCGGTACCTTTATTAAGCCATGGTCTTTGGGTTACCAAGATGTATTATAGACGAATAGTTTACTAAAAATAAATAATACAAAATTTAAAGCGATTATTAGAAATTCTTAAGCACAAGTCTTTAAAAAAACGGAATATATATAGGTATCAAAAAGGCTTGGAGAAAATTCTATTGTATTTCATCACTTCTATTGTTTTAGTTTCCAATGCTTTAAATGCTTTTCAAGAGATTTAAGGGTGTTCCCCGCCAGCTTAGTCGAATCACTTGCTCCACATTCTGTGCGAATCCTAACAGCCCTCCATGCGCATCAGCCTCAATCGTTATTAGTGGATAGTGCGCATTTGCTTATTTCCTTGCATACGATCAGGAAATATGCTACAGATTTTCACTTTATGAAGTTCTCTCCTCAGAACCCTAAACCCCTGCTCAAAACCCCGGGCACCACAGGAGCAGCAGCGGTTGAAGCGACAGCGAACGCCCCTCGGGCCTCAAATGTCGGACTCAGCATGAATATTTTATTTGGCGAAAAAAAAGGCTGGAGGGATCCAACTGAGGTTCGTCCACTGAAAGAAAAATGAACTTTTTAAGTTAAGATATTAGGAAAGGACATTCTTAGAGTTTTCTGATATTATTTCGCTCCTTAAAATCTAATTTTTTAAGAACAAAAACCAGATATTACAATTTTTGGTTGTATGTAAAATTTTAGATTATGAAAGTTCTACTTATGTTATGCATATATCATATTAAATTTATTTGTTTTTAAATTAGTTATTTAAATGTTTGAAATTGATTTCTGTGTAGGCTGATGGGTAGGGTGAGGATTGGGTTAGGGACAGCGATTGCGAGTGGGGATTGGGACTGGTATTGGTCTTGTCTGTCATGGACATGGGGCGCTGATGAACGTCGTTTCGTGTCTGGCATCTTAAGGTTGCCTTTTTGTACCCTGCACTGACAAAGTGTTTAGGTTACGTTACGTACGTTAAATTTCACGAATAATTGTTTAATAATAATAATAATGTAATATAAAGTTAAACGAACGACTATGGATCAATTGGTTATTCTAGTCATTATTAT